GTCATACTAGATATTTGTATGTCATAACTTCACTAAGAGATTAAAAGAGATAGAAGTATGCATAAAATAGGTAATAAATACTTACAAAGATCTGTTATTTTAATTTATTAGCTGGGTTCATCAGTTAAATCTCCAGAATACCTTTTATGCATTAGACATTACGACATTTCGACAACTGTTTAAATCCTGTTTTTAACGCTTCTTTTCTAATATTATTGTGACGAGACCAATCTCGCCACTGTGCATTGGAGGAGCCTGTTCGCCTGCTGCCTTTAGACTATGGCCCCTTGTTGAAACGCTTGATTTTCCCCTGCGAAGACACGAAAGCCGGATCATTCGGTGCGTGCCCTGTTTTAGCGGTGATACCCCAGATAGCTATGCCATGGAGCCCATTCGTATAATGAAAGACTATGGGAAAGACTTTGGCTCCACGGCAATTGAACTGTATGTGTGTGCTCTGAGCGCCATTCAGTAATAATGTGCGCTCAGATCTGAGCTATCTGGGGATATGTTGAATGTATCTGTTTTGTGCAATGGCTGCACAGTTATATGTTTTTATGTGTTTTATTGTCTTTTGCTGCCATGTGTTCAATGGAGTTTTGCCTCTGTCTTGGAGATAATTGGATTACCTCCCAATTATCTCCAGGATAGAAGACTCTGTGGAACTGGTTTTGGGCAGAAAAGCCATGCTTCCCTTGGTCACAAAGGGAACCACTGGACCAATTTGGATGATTTTGACATATGTTTGTATTTGGAGTATGCTGATTCTGAAAATGTAATTTTATGTGAATGTGATGCATACTTTTCAAGTTATGAATAATGTGGAAAAAATTTATTTCTCTGCTTGTGCTAATTACATTACTCATTGTGTGAGGTAATTGTATCACAGGCAGAGGGGAGGATTTTGTGTGGGAGTGTTTGGATGTGATTTTTTTGTCTTCGTCTTTTCATAAAAAGGGAGGGCTCGAGGAGATCACTTAGACTGCAGGTAATCTAGCGAGTGTATATGAGTCAGCCTTTACCTTTCATCCATAGGACTTTTTGATTTACGCAATGCAATATGTCCAGTTAATTATTCCACCTTCTCGTCATTTTAGCAGACAGTCGAGTGAGTTATAGTTAACAAGTACCTCTCTACCTACTTAGTGGTATTCAGACCTAGTGATTGGCTAGAAGTCTGTTTGGTAATAAAAATACTTTATCGCTAGCAGCATTTATGGTGAACACGAGTGTTGGTTCTGTTCATCAGATAGTTTGGATATATGTATTTACATTAGAGTAACTTTATCGTTAGTTACCTAAGCTTAGCGGATCATCTGAGTGTAGCACGATCCATTCTATACCAAGTCCATATAGAGAGGTTGTGGTAGACCAACTCTGTGTAGGAGCTGAAGGACCCACACTGTATCAGACTTGATTTTTGCCCTGCAGTTCATTGATTATCTTTTTAGATGCAATTAGGTCATAGACCACTCTGCTTCCTTGGAAGCAGATTAATCTTTGTATGTATTTATAAGGGGTTATACACTTTTGATACTTTGTAGGATAAGCTATTTCTTATGCTCATATGTTAGTATTGCTTAGGACATACATGTCCTTTTAGAAGTATTTCTATCCACTTTATTTCTCCATCCCCTCCTCCCCCCTTTTAACATTTAGTAGGTGTGGCGAAACCGACCTCGCCACTGGGCATTGGAGAAGACTGATTGCCAGCCTCCTGCCATGTGCCTATGGCCCCTGGGATGTATTGCCCTTTAACTCCTTAAGGACACATGACATGTGTGACATGTCATGATTCCCTTTTATTCCAGAAGTTTGGTCCTTAAGGGGTTAAAGACATGATTTGGGCATAATGGATTTGTGTTGTGCTGCTGCTGGCCCTTTAAGAACCATCTGGGGACATGCTGTGGGGTTACTGGGTGGCCACCATTTTATGTATCAGAGGCACATGGTGAGAACAATGGATGAAGCACATGGTGAGAACAATGGATGGCGGCCATTTTAACTCACAGACCGTTTGGACTTTTCTACACGGTGCCATCTCGCCAGTATTTGGTGCCCAAAGACATTGTGCAGTAGTTTTAAACTATACAACAGGGGACACATTATACAGTAATTATTTTTCATATAGCCTGTATATGTTCTGCGGAATCTGCATTAAACTGTATCTTCCAAACTACTGAACGGATCTGGGTCAATTTTGGATATGTGGTTCATCCAGATCCCCCAGTTCCGAGGATATACTTTTTATGGGGTTATTGCATGTTTTAGGGTCCCTGTGATATGTTTTATAATACTGTATTTCTCTGCCTGTGATAATTATATTAACCATTGTGTTCAGTAATCATATCACAGACAGAGGGGAGGATTTTGTGTGGGAGTGTCTGTGTGTATTGTACGGATTGATTGGTTGTATTTCAAAACCCTGTGGGCAGTACTAGTATGTTTGTGGATTGTGAATAAAAGAGACTGTATCTGCTTGACCTCAAAACGAAGTGTCGTCTCATTATTGGAGGAATTGGATTGTATGCTGATTGCCAGGAGTGTGAGCTGATTGTATGCTTTTCCTGTTCAGCTGCTTACAACATTCATATGCTTGAGAGCATTCGTATGCTTCTCCGGTTCAGTGGTTGTGGTGTCTGCTGCAGTGCTTGGAGTCCTCAGGAAGCGCTGGGAGCATCCTTCAATGGAGGTACCCAGTCGGGGTGCCAGGTGATCCGTTACAGTAGGCATATCAGGGAACATATGTCCAAGAGATAATAAAGGAATCCCTCACAATAAAGCATTGGTTTTGTTACGGTATTGTCTTATATAGAATCCTATTTAGGCTTTGGTCTTATCACATACACCCTACTGTTTGCACGGTTTTTAATGTTGGGTTATTATTTAATTTATTTTTCTATATTGCTCTATTCATAGGTGTCCCTCCAACACTTTGGTTCTTTTCTTTTGGAACAAAACAATTTGATTTCTACTTTAGGGTTGGGCCCTGTTAATTGGAGGACACAATTTAAGGACTTTATTTATTCATTTTCTCTATTTTTCCCTCATAGCTTTTGTGGTGACATTCTGTCATCAAATTAATATGGTGACCAGAGGTCATGTGACCAAGCTCATGTATGCCTTCTTACAGGGGGATAAGCTTTACCTTTTGATATGGTAATTGGGTAAAGAGATAGCCAGATAACCACTTGCCCCTATCCCCATTCCTTCCTGTTCCTTCTTGGCTGTGCTACTGAGCAGACCCTTTAGCAGACATTGGCTAATTTTTGTCATGGTGAACTGTGCGTGGGATCTGGTGATTTTATAAGATTTAGTTGTTATTTTTAGTTATATTGTTGTTGAGTTAGTTACAGTGTGTGTCATTATTTGTATGTTGTTGTTCTGTCTCGGAATAAATATTTGTTAAAGTAGACGGACCATAGTTTATATGTGTATGCGTACATAATAATTTATAGAGTTTGGTAATTTACCACAGCTTTGCAATTTGTTCCAACAAGAATTCATAGTTATCCTCAGATAATTTACAAATACCCCTAACCATCCTTATTTGATATAACAACTGCTCTTTAACTAGAGGCCAACATGGTGTCACCACACTTTTCCAATTTTTGGCTATCATTAGCTTTGCTGCAGTCTAGAGATGGATAACTATAAAATAATACTGGTCAAAGATATCAAGTACATTTATATGGAGTAAAAATAGTTTAGCTTCAAATATAAAGGGCCTATTAACAAATTTTGTATTTTAATATAGATCATATGCCAAAACAATTGGATTGGTTGACAAACCCACCAAGTATGGGCCAATCCTCCTTTATCTAATTCACATCTCCAACATCTATCTGTATGATCATGATATATCTTTGCTAACCTACTAGGTACCAGATACCACCTATTTAATATTTTATATTTATGTACCTCCACCAAATTGAGGCAGTGCACTTTTTCATTTACTAATTTTATTGATTCAATCCTCTCTTTATAATCAATTTTTAATTCTTTTTTTTTCTATTAATGCTTTATTTTAGATGTGCAGATGGTCACAATATTTCAACAAGCGCCCCAACAGCGTATTTCAGGTTTCATACAAGTTAGACAGTGGCGTGATAATTTGCACAATTTTTGTATTTAACATGCTTAACTAAACAGTTGATTTGTCCGAGTACGATTGAATTAAATAAAATAAAGTAAAGTTACTGGATGCTTAACATTGCTAGGTTGCCTATGCTATGGTAGATGTTGCGTGAACACGTTTTAAAACAGAGCAGTATCTGGTTACGAAGTAAAGAATAGTAACGTTATGCTATGAATGTTTAGTCTAGGGAGCATCGTAACCAGGCTGTGGACAGCATATATGCATATGCATATATCAGAAGAGAAGCAGAAATAAACATGAGATTTAGACATGCGAATTGCCAGGCCGGCAGGTATGTCCTTGTTATGTTAGTAGGTGACAGTAACAGGCAAGCATGCTGTACCACACCAGCACACCAATGTTTTCCATCGAGATTTACAAATTGGTCACGGAAGAACTGCACACAATTTTTGTTTTTAAACATTTCGGTTCAGGCTACATACATTTGCAGGCTTATAGTGATTGGTGTCGTGTGAGTGTCTCAGGGAGGGAGCTTAATGCTTGTCAAGTTTAGCTGATGTGTGTGTGATATTTTTACATAATCTGGCTTGCCGTAGGTGAAGTAATGCATTAATGCGGTGAGACGTATGGTGATATTATGTATGCTAAATGCACGTGACTCATAATTTGTTGGTTAAACAAAGTGTAAGCCTGTGTGGTAGGAATGTTTGTCAGGCTGAGTAAGTATTTTGTAGTGCCAGATCTGCAGGCTTAACTTAAAATATGCAAAACAATACCAGAGCAAGGGGCATGATTGACCTTGAAAACAGCTACAGCGTTCAAGCAGAGTCTCCCATGGTAGCGGCTATAGTGAACCCTATGCGGGACGACAGTGTGTAAATTATGTTCCTGTTGGGCTGACCGTGTGTTTTCTTCGTAGTGGGAGCACAGTCTATCTCTGGTGCAAATGGTCTGGCTTAGCTGATGCCGATGCTGGAATCCTGGCTTGTGAACTCTGGGCACTGGTGGGGTCGCGGCTGCAGCTGTGGCCATATCCCACCGCTTGTCCGATCTGGAGGAGCTCTCCGCCCGCATCTGTCGCTGGTAAGAGGTTATGCTCCAGTTTGGTGAGTCTTGTGGCTGTTAGCTTGGGTCTGTGCGCGTGGGATTATGCTGCGTGGTTAAGTTGGGCGGGCTTGGTTTTCTCCCTCTTGTGTGCGTGAAAGTGGGTGCCGGGGTCTGGGAGGCAAGTCATCGTTTCCCACCTTTTGTAGCTCCATAGTCTGTACCATCTGGAGGCTGCTTTGGGGGCTCGGGGTGGGTATCTGTTATGGAGGCGCCGGGTGGACGGGCAGATCCAAGCTGCCGTCCTCCGTGTCACTTGGTTGTATTTCTGACATTTGGTGTGGAGCGATGACCAGATGCAGGCACATAGCCTGTCAAAGAACTCCAGCGTCTGCTCGAGCGGCTTAGTGAGTGTGTTTTGCCGCCATCTTGAGTCACTGTAGTCTCTGTTGCTGGCAGGTTTAATTGCTTGTGTGAGCCACTTTGTGGGTGTATTCGTCCCCAGCGAGGACCGGGATATCCCGATAGATCATCCGCCTCCCCCAAGCCTCAGGCTCCGCTCCAGTGTAGGCCTTGTGGCCGGCCCGGGTGCTCTCTCTGTGTTTCGGTACGTGGCAGGTATCAACCTGTTCCCCGTGTGGTCCTGTGTCAATTTTTGGGCATTTTGTACTGCTGGCATGATTATAGTCTTCAGGGTAGTTGTTTTTATGCCTGTCCTTGCCGGAGCTCTCAGAGAGCACGTCTGGCCATCTTGGCTGTAGGCCCCGCCCCCCTTTTCCCATTTTTTAATAACATTTTAGGAAAGGTGTCTCAACATCCTCAATTATCAATGTTATAGTCTGCTGCTAATCTTTTCAAAGTATTGGTCTTAAGCCTACTCTCGAACGTAACAATTGTAATAGTCTTGACAGTAACTAGGTGGTTATCTAGGTAGCGCTTCACTCACAAATATTTAAAAAATTTCTTTCTTTTGTAATTTAAAATTTATATAAAGTGTGGAAAAATCTTGAATTTTATTATTTTTCAGAGATCTTAAATAGTAACTATTCCATAGGAGAACTAACTGTTTAGATTAAGGTCTTCAATATTATGCGTTAAATTACTTAAGGGCAGTACAGCTTCACCTTATCAGCTAAGTGGCACTCCTTTCTAAATTTGTCCCAAATAGTCAAAAGATTTTCAATTACAATATTTTTTAACAATTTGTTTTGTGGATATTTTTTAATTGTATCTCTTTTCAACCAAAAAATTGATTCTAGCTTCATTTCTTCATTGGTTTTTAACACTGTTGACTCTATAATATACCAAGCCTCATTTCTTACCCAGGATAGTTGGGTCATGATGACATGCATCAAGCCACATGCCTGCCAAATTACTTTTAGCTGGGGAACTCCCAACCCCCCTAGATTAGATTTTAATGCTAGACGTTTAGCACTAATACGGGGCTTTTTACCAAGTCACACATATTTATCAAGTACTGATTGTGCCGGTTTTAACCAACTCTCTGGACAATATACTGGGACCATTATAAAAAGATAAAGCCACTTGGGAATGATATATGACTTTACAACATTGATTCTTCCTCCCCATGAGTTGTCGTTATTCTTCAATTCTTTTAACCCCTTAACGACACAGCTTCAGAAGCTTGTCTTATGCTTAATGACACAAGCAATTTTTGCATTTTCTTGCTGTTTGCGTTCAGCTGCAATTTGCATCTCTCTTGTTTATTGCACTGACACATATTATATACTGCCTTTTAAAGTACAGAAAGAGCTTTAATTTGATGTAACAAATATATATAAATATATATATATATAAATGCTTATTTATTATAAAAAATACAGAAAAAAGCAAAAAAATGAAAAGTGTTTTTTTTTACAGTTTTTGCAATAATGTGTGCATAATTAGTGCAGGTTAAATAAAGTAATTAAAAATAGATTAATTTAATCGTTCTGATTTACAGAATATATAATGTGTCTGGGATTTTAAGTTTTTTTTGGTAGTTACAGGTCACAAAACACAAGCAATAAAATAAACTTTTAATGTTGAGCGATTTTAGAATTTTGTATTTTTGTCTTGTAAGCTTAATAGCCATAAAAGAAAACAAAATTGCCACACAAAAGTATATATTTATATAAAGTAGACATCACAGGCTATTTATCTAAGGTTGTTTTGACACTTTCTACGTAGCCATTTCACCGCCAACCTCTGCTAAATAGTGGAGTAAAATTGTTGTTGTTTTTTTTTGTTTTTTGGCACACAAACTTATAACAAAGAACTTCTCATGTGTATTTAGTAAAGTTGTTGTGTGCTTTTTCTGTACAAAGTTTTATTTTGTGTTCAGTTACATCTGCTGAGTAAAATTACACCCCCATTGTATGTGTTTGGCACTATTTCGTGAAGCTACAGTGCCATACAGGAGACCTGTCCTTTTCAGTATTCAATAATGAGCCTATGCTTCCATTTGGGGTATTATAACAGTTTGACTGTTCAAAAACCCCCCACAAAGGCATACCATTTGTAAAAGTAGACACTCCAGGGTATCTCATATGGTGCATATTGTGCCTTAACATGCTCCCATTTTTTCACCAATATATGCCAAAGTATGTGGTAAAAAATAATTTTGGGCATTTCTTTTACATAAGGATTACATTTTTGCTGGGCATTGTGTATATTTCATATGTGCTACTAACTTCAAACCCCCCAAATTATGATAAGCTAAGTCTTCTGAGTAAAATGACACCCCCATTGTATGTCTTTGGCACTATTTTGTGAAGTTACAGTGCTGTAAAAGAGACGTGACGAGTTCAGGTTTTTAAGTGTGAATTTTCATGGAGGGTTTTGATGTGTCCGTGTTTCACTTTGTAGCATTTGAGCAGGCTACATATTACAACTACATCATAAAGGCATACCATTTCTTAAAGAACACATCCCAGGCTATTTTGAACCTTAGCGTGGGATCATTTTTCCGCTAGCTTGTACCAAGTGTAGTGGTAATAAGCGTTTTTTTCTGCCTTTTTGACACACAAAGTGAGTTTGCGCAGTATATTTTGCAAACCTTATGTGTGCTGTGACTGTATAATACTTCATATGTTGCTCAGCTTTGTCATCTGAGTACAGCAATACCCCCGTATGTACCATTGCCAGGTATATGTGGATGTTGAAGGGGCACATTTAAGACGCAGCCATTCAGTTTTTTTCTAACTTTGAAGTTTTACGCTGTGTCCATGTTCCCTTTTCAAGTAGTTTAGATGGTTGGTTATTGAAACTTCCCCACAAACACATATTAAAGAATACACCCTGGTGTAATTCAAAAGGCATATTTTGAACTTTAGCGTGAGATCATTTTTTCTCTAGTTTGTTCCAGGTGTAGTGGTAATGAGCGTTTTTAAATGTATTTTTTTACTTTTTTAAACTTTTGTTTTGCTTATTTTTTTAAACTTTCCTAAAGTTTCTTAAAACTTTTTTTTTACAGATTTAACATTTTTCTAAGCTTTTGTTTACCGTTAACCCCTAATTAGCAGTAAGCAGCACTAACAGTAAATTCCCCATAACTCCCACCCACCCCAGCTAGCAAAATATATAATTATAAAATATTTTAATTAATTAATTAAATAAATTGAACCCATGAGGGTTAAAAAATAAACAAATTAATCCTCAAGGGTTAAAAAAAATTAGATCACTGTGATCTGTATTTTGATCACTGTAGGCAGTGATCGACTGGCAGGGAAGGGGTTAATTTTTATTTGGACTGGGTAAAGAGGGGTGTCTTTTTTACTTAAACGTTATTAAAACTTTTTTTAAACTTATTTTTAACTTTTTAAAGCTTATTTTAAAACTTTTTTAATGTTAACCCCTAGTTAGCCTAACACCAAATCCCCTAATTCCCCACTTCCACCCACCCCAGATAAATATATAATTTTAAAATATTTCAATTAATTAATAAAATAAATTTAACTCCTGAGGGTTAAAAAAAAAAAAAAAAAAGAATTAACCCTCACGGGTTAAAAAATAAAATAAAAAAATCAGATGACAGTAAAATGTAATCCCTGCCAATTGATCACTGTAGTCAGTGATCAATTGGCAGGGAAGGGGTTAATTTTTTTATTAAAAGGGGTAAAGGGGAGTAGGATTTTACATTAACTTTATTTTTTTTTTCTAACAGCGACAAGATCAGTGATGATCCATCTCCCTGCACTTCACACAGAACCGGAAGTGCAGGGAGGCGGAAGGTGAGTACATGGAGGACATGTGCTCGCTCTGACAGAGCGAGCACTGGTGCTGGGGCAGCGAGATCGGGTGCAGATCGTGTGTTAATTTTACAGCGTGATGGACGAGGTCTGTCACCTGTCGTTAAGGGTATCACCAGGATGACGGACCTTGTCCGTCACTCGTCCTGAAGGGGTTAATTTATTCTTTTATTTATTATTTAATCTTTCTAATCCTTCACCATGCACATATTTGTGAAAGTAAATTAGCACTTTTTTTTTACTGTTTGACAGTAAAATCTGAAAAATGCATACCCAGAGAAACTGACTAAAGTGCTCTGAAGTATAACTACATTCTAATAATCAAAACAGGACCTTAAAGCAGCTCTCTCAACCCTTCCCACACCCCTCAAAAATGTGCTTTTCGTAAAGATAAAATATTGATGAAATACTCATACAGACTGTATTGGAATGTTTACCAAAATGCGCTGTCAAAAGGTATCAGAAAATGCAGGTACTACTTCCTATGTATTTTTGTTTTGAGAAAGCTTGACTATTGCCAGCTGGGGCAAGGCTTTGTCTATGCAGGCTTCCAAGGTTTGGCAAGATACTCCATATACGTCAGTGTCTATGAAGTAAGAGAGTAAAGCATTGGCACATGAAGCACCAGAAGCTTAAGAAAATGCACCAGATCATATGGATTCTCTGCAGCTAAGCTTAAAAAAATAAGATCTTTAGGGAGGCTGGGGGGAGTCTAAATGAAAACAAGCACACATTAGTGAATAAATGTATAGTTTTCTTTTCCTAGGTAATGAAAAGTATTAGAAAAAAGCCAGTCCAGACTTGCTGAAATAAAACCAATCATATTAGGAGCCTCATTATCAAAATGAAGAAGCAGGTTTGTTGATGGCTGTCTTAAGCTGTTGCTTTATTTTATGTGGGAGTTACTCCTTTTCCAGGTGTGATGGACTTTAAACAGAAATGTGATAATCAACAGACATTATATTAAGGAACAATATTGTATATTACTTTGTTAAAATAAAGTAATGCTTATGTTTAAACTGAACATGGGTATTGAATAGATTAAAATATGTAATATGATTCAAAACATAACTATTATTGAGTTTGAATTATAACAAGCTGTCTTTTTCAAGGTGTTTCATGTGGCAATTATGACAAAGTAATCGGTCTTCTAGTGGATAGCAACGTTGTCCATCTTCATCACTGAGCTCTAGTGCACAATCCTGCAACACAAAAATAAATAATTATGTGGAAGCCAACATTCTCAAATACATGTACAAATGATACATAACATGAGGGCAAAACAGAGAAGCCTTGCTTGCTATGCTTAAAGGGGCTATTAGTTATATTACCTTCATAGGTATAATAAACATTAAAAATCACCCTCTATGGGATCTGTAGCGGTTATGGTGTCATGAGTGTCCTGATGCCTCCAAGTGTAAATAGTCAAGCTGTTTGCTTACGTGACATCAGCTGGCACTTTGATAGATAGAAGCATGGAGACTTGTTAGATCTCCTGAATTAAATCCTGCCGTAGGTCAATGATAACAGCTCCTGCTCTCAAGGAGAAGATGAATGGAGCCAAGTGAACCACAGATAGGTTGTAAATCCTTTAGGAAATAGTATGATTGCTTACACTGGAGGGCATCAGAGCACCCCTGGCACCATAACCATTACAGTTTGTAGTCTTTCTTTAAATGACTAATAAGGCACCCAAACCAATTCAATGTTAGCCCTGCAAAGTAAAACATTGCCATATAGTAAATATGGAAATGCTTACCTTACAGTGTTAAATAAGCATCTAGTGGCTGTATTCCTGACAGTCACTAGAGGTACATCTGCTGTGGGATCAGTTAAACTCCATTTTAAAAGAGGGAGCAAAGCTGGCAGTACATGCACTTTTTGTCTACAATGATCTTCAATGAGAAACATTGTTAACATGATATCGCAGGAGGCAGCTTGAGCATCCGCAGTGTCTGAATCTCAGAGTTGTAACAAAAAAATAAAACATGGTTTTACTCATCTGTTTTTTTAGATTTGGAGGTATGACCAGAAACTAAAGGCAGAGGAGAACACTGTGTGTGTGACCAGTCAGGTGCCACTTACACCATGTCAGATTGTTTTTATTATTATGTTATTATTTATATAGCGCCAACAAATTCCGCAGCGCAGTGGGTGGACGAACAAACATGTAGTTGTAACCAGACAAGTTGGACACGCAGGAACAAAGGGGTCGGCTCAATGAGATTACATGCTAGAGGGAGTGGGGTAAAGTGACACAAAAGGTAAGGATAGTATTAGACTAATGACAGTTGCAGAAGAGGAATCAGTCGGGCGCTATTAACAGTTTAAGTGATACGCTTTTATGAAGAAGTGGGTTTTTATTATTTTGAAGGAGTGGAGACTGGGAGAGTGTGACGGTCTGAATAGGTAAAACCGTCTAGTATTCCCTTATTCCCATAAAATAATATCGCCAATAATCCACAGGAAAAAATATCGCCGGTATCGCATAATAATCCACACATGAGCCAAAGCTTAATGCTGGAACAAGACTGGTTTAATGGAAGCAAGGACATTCAATTTATACAACACCAGACTCCTCCTCTGAGCCTGTGATATAATTGAGTTTTAGAAACATACTAAACTCAATTATCTACTGGCCAGAAAAGTTAACAATTTTCACAATTTTTAAAAATATACTTTCTGCATAACAAAACCATATAAAAATGATGTGAGTAACAAAAGGAAAAAAGAGAAAAGTTGGAGATTCCAGTTCTATATATATTGACACCAGTGAAATACACATAAATTAAAACGTCACTTTTAATAAATTAAAATTAAAAAGTCCCTTAATAATAATAAGGGCACTACACACACTCTTATTATAAACACGTGTAAAATCACCACACCTAAATATAAATGGCTGAGTTAACCAAAAAGTGAATAAAATGATGATTTCTCTAGAGGGAAGATTTTCCACTTGTGTCTATAAGATCTAGTGTGTGAAATCCTACAAAGTCATTGTCTACAGAAATCTAAATTGGGGGAACTTTAATCTCAAATTATTAAAACAAGAGTCAAGGTGGATACATACCTTTAAGACATTGACCCCTACGGGTCTCAATGAAGAGTTCAATTTTACCCCTTTTATCCATGGGTAGAGACCTTGATAAATTGATAGTAGCTGCTAATATTAAGTTTTGACTTATTAATAATTTCTTTAAGCATTTCTATCTAGACAGACAAATTGGTCCTTTTCACCAATTGATCCCAATCATTTAAGAGTTTGCATAAGAAAACAACGAATACAGGGGCTTGAATGCAAAAGCTGTTCGTGTTGAAAATTATTAACACGTCTCAGCCCCTATTCTCTTTATAAATAAATCCTAATTATGACTTCATTATTATGAAAGAACTTTAAATATTTGTATTTATTAATATAATAGAGACGGTCCAAGTATAACTGACAGACTAATAACTTGTTATTAAGCTGTCCATTAGGCTTTCTTTAGAGATTGAAATCCTGATATATAAAAAATTCTATCGCCCGTCACCTACGGGAAAGTATGATGGAACTGTTAGAAACTATTTGCCCATTGGGAGTTGGGTAACATAGAATCTGGGAAACTAACAATTGTCAGATAGTGGTAAGAACAATGTGGGTTTAATAAGAACCTGGGGACGTGATAGTTAAATCAGCCCAATGTAATGTCATCTTGAAATTTCTGATTAAATAGGTATTATCCTCAGATATGTCGGACTGAAACTGTAGAGTTCATAATTCTAATATTATATTAACAGCAGATGACATATCGTAGGAAGTTCAGTCTTTCTCTGCCACGAGCAACGAACCCAGAAAAGTAAAGCACTCATTAACAAACTTCCAAATAGACAATAACTATAAGAAATAATACAATCTATAACAATCTTCTTTTGAAGTTTTTTAATAATTCTGCATAATACAATAATAGATCTTTTCCTTACTTATTTATTTATACAGTTTTCAAACATTAACTGTCTGTTTCGTCCAGCGACTTATACATTAAGGGTTAACAAACCCGGTCTTCAATTAATTACGTCAAATTACAACAGACGAGTACCCTCTCTTGCATTGGTTAATTCAAAAATAACGGTTACCAATAGGAATAGAGTATGACCTTTAAAAGACCGGGAGGTACAGGACCCCGGTTTCCTTCTGATGAGCTAATAAGCGAAACGCGCGTCAGGGATATGTAGGGTGGCGCAGACTTTGACAAACCAAAGATAGTATTTGTATGCCGAGTAGTAATAGACTTTTATAACATCTTTTCTTAAAAGCAGAGAGAGAACTAACTTACCAGTTCGTTAGTGTCAGGTATAGCATGGCATGTAATTTATCGCCGGAACCCACTTCCGGGTTCACGGCGCTCAGCCCCGCCCCTTTCTCTGACGCGGTCCCTCCACGATACTTAGGAGGACCGCGCCAGATTCAAAGGGCTGAATTATTCGCACAGGTGCTGCATGAAGATCAGCTGCTCTACTTCTGATCCTACCTGCTCCACTTCTATACCTCGGCTAGTAAACGGATTTCTACCTTCTCCACTTCTCGACCTCGGCTTGTAAACGGATTTCTACCTTCTCCACTCCTAGACCTCGGCTTGTAACTCTGAATTCTACCTTCTCCACTCCCAGACCTCGGCTTGTTAAAACGGACTTCCCCACTCTCCACTCCTAGTTCTCAGCTTGTTGAAACGGACTTCTAATTTCTCCTTCATTGGGTGAATTAACCCTTCCAGTGCCAGAACTGCCTTTAAGTTAAGTAATACTTTTACCAAACAAGTCAATTACTATTATTTATATTACACAGTATCTAAAACTCACTAAAGTGTCACTTTGTCTAATTATTCCTCTTACTCATAAGGGATTGCTACAAAGCCTAATTTTACCTACATGGATATTTAAAGGTACAGTGACCATAGTTTCATACCAATATAAAAGGAGGTGAACCTTATTGTTGTTGCAACCAAGAAATGCTGCAGTTGAGTTCCAATTAAAGAAATATTACAAAATAAGTATTACAGAATAATTCAGCCTCTTCAATGGAACCAGCAGATATTAACTCTCAAGTTTCTGCCCTAACCAATAGAGTGGATACGATTGCTCAAGGGTTACAGGAACTGCAAATTACAAATGAGAGAATATTAACCTATGTTAGAGACATTCAAGGTCATCTTCCTCATGCCGCTCTTCAATCGGCTGGTGATCCTGCTGTCTGTAATCCAGAAAAATTTCATGGAGATAGAACAAAGTACAGAGAGTTTTTGAATTCTTGCAAACTACTAATTGCTTTAAAACCTAGATCTTATCCCACCGAAAGATCCAAAGTCTGTTCAGTGATCTCTTTTTTAAGAGGTGAACCTATGGCATGGGCCCATTCCTTTTTGGAAAATGATGATCCCATATTAGATTCATTGGATGAGTTCTTTGAAGCTATGTCTTTATTATATGAAGATCCTTTTAAACAAACTACTGCTGATTTAACCATCAGAACATTACACCAAAAGAATAGACCTGTTGAAGATTATATTGCAGAATTCAAAAGATGGGCTACAGAAACCCAATGGAATGACATTACTTTACGCAATCAATTCCGTCTCGGATTATCTGAAGCTGTGAAAGATGAACTCTCTCGTACAGAACTTCCTCCTACCTTAAATGCATTGATTCAACTGTCTATCAGTATTGATAGACGTCTAAGAGAAAGAAAAGCTGAAAGGGTTCTTACTAATTCTACCTGGAGAAAACCTTTCACTACTCTAAAACTACCTGAAAAAATTCCTCCACAAACTGAACCTATGGAAGTAGGTATAATAAAAAGTCCTCTTACTTCTGAAGAAAGAATAAGAAGGAGACAACTAAACTTATGTATGTATTGTGCTTCGAATGAACATCTAATTTCCGAATGTCCTCTACTGAAACATTCAAAAGGTGGTAAGCTTCATTCATCTACCTCTATATTGAACGTTTTTCAAAAAAGAAAAGCATCTACTTATTTTTCTATATCTCTCATATTACAGTGGGATACAAAAAGAATCGTGACTGAGGCCATCATTGATTCTGGTGCTAATGGAACTTTTCTTGATTTTTCTTTTGTTTCAAAAAATAAAATTCCTTGTGTTCAAAAAACCAATTTTATTCCAATCAGAGTTATTGACGGTTCATTTATATCCTCAGGACCCATCAAAGATGAAACAATCCCTCTAAGAATGATTACCAACAACGTACATTTCGAATTCATTACATTTGATATTATTAAATCTCCACTTTATCCCGTCATTCTAGGAATTAATTGGTTAAAAAACCATGATCCTTTAATTAAGTGGTCTCCCTTCTCCATCTCCTTTGCTTCTGATTTCTGTAAAAAAACGTGCTTACAACACATTCCTATTCTCCAAACTACTGTAGAACCAGTTATACCTCCATTCTACTCCGATTTTGCAGATGTCTTTTGTAAAAAAGAAGCGGAAACACTTCCTCCTCATCGGCTATATGATTGCCCAATAGATCTCATACCCGGAGCTCCTATTCCTTATGGTCATATTTATCCACTCTCTGAAAAGGAGTTAGAAATTTTAAAAGAATATCTTAATGAAAATTTACGCAAAGGGTTCATCAGACCCTCGACCTCTCCTGCTGCTTCTAGTATTTTCTTTGTGAAGAATAAAGACCAAACCATCCGTCCTATTATAGATTACAGAGCCTTAAATAAAATAACTATTAAAAATCGTTATCCTCTTCCACTAATAAATGAATTAATTGAAAGGTTAAGAACTGCAACTATATTCACTAAACTCGACCTTCGAGGCGCATATAACCTCATTAGAATAAAACAGGATGATGAATGGAAAACCGCCTTCCGGACAAGATATGGTCTCTACGAATATCTAGTGATGCCTTTCGGGCTCTGTAATGCCCCTGCAACATTTCAACATTTTATCAATGATATCTTTAGAGATCTTCTGGATGTATGTGTTATTATCTACTTAGATGATATCTTAATATATTCTAACAATTTGGATGAACATAGGAAACATGTTAGATGGGTTCTATCTAGACTGAGAACTCATAAATTATACGCTAAACCAGAAAAATGCCTTTTTGAGGTTACTGAATTCTCTTTTCTAGGATACATTATTTCACCTCATTCTTTGAAGATGGATAATTCCAAAATCAAATGTATTATTGATTGGCCTGCTCCTACTACTACAAAAGAATTACAACGTTTTCTTGGATTTGCAAACTTCTATAGAAAATTTATTAGAAACTATTCGGATGTATCACATCCTCTTAACCTCCTCAACAGTAGTAAACGTCCTTTTAATTGGAATAAAGATGCTCAAACAGCCTTCGACGAATTAAAAAAAAGATTTACAACTGCACCTATTCTACAACTACCTAATCCAACATTCCTATATGTTCTTGAAGTTGATGCATCAGATGCAGCCATCGGAGCAGTTCTTTCTCAACAAAAGACTCCACAAGATCCACTTCATCCAGTTGCCTTTTTTTCAAGATCCTTGAGCTCTGCTGAAAAAAATTATCCTATTGGTGAAAAAGAATTATTAAGTGTTAAAGCTGCCTTCGAAAATTGGCGTCATCTTCTGGAAGATACAAAACAACCTATAATAGTTTATACTGACCATAAAAATCTTGAATATCTCTATACTAACAAAACCCTTACAGCTAGACAAGTTAGATGGAACCTATTCTTTAACCGATTTAACTTCCAATTAATATACAGACCTGGAAATAGAAATAAAAAGGCTGACGCTCTTTCTCGAATTCCTTCTAAAACTACTACTGATGATTATCCTTCTACCAAAATAATAGGAATCCTCTCTTCTCTTCATGATGACATAAAGAATTTGAATCAGAAGGATCTTGAACTTCCCAAAACACCTATACTAACAAAAAAGGATGGTCTATTTTATTTTAAAAATAGAATTTATATTCCTCCCATTCTTAGGAATAAATTACTTAAGATGGTTCATGATTCCCCCCTAGCTGGACATCCTGGAATAAAGAAAACACTTGAACTAACTTCACGATATTATTGGTGGCCTCGCCAGGATAGAACCATTGCATTATATGTCAAAACATGTCCTATCTGTCAAAGGTCTAAACCAGAACATAATCAACCTTTTGGATTACTACTTAACTTACCTATTCCAGAAAAACCTTGGCAATCCATTTCTATGGATTTTATCGTTGATCTTCCACCTTCTCAACATTTCACCACTATTCTTGTCGTTGTGGATCGCTTCACAAAAATGTCCCATTTCATTTCTTTAAAAAAATTACCCTCCTCTGTAGAATTGTCTAAGGTCTTTATTGACAATATTGTGAAACTTCATGGTCTTCCTGAAGAAATTATTTCTGATAGGGGGACACAATTTACCTCCAAATTCTGGAAAGAGATGTGTCTCTCCCTTCAAATTCAACGCAAACTCTCTTCCGCTTATCATCCCCAAACTAATGGGCAAACAGAAAGGGTTAACCAATGTTTGGAACAATATCTTCGATGTTATTGTTCATACCTCCAAGATGACTGGACCACATGGTTACCTATGGCCGAATTTTCTTACAATAATACCATTCATTCTAGTACGAAAATGACTCCTTTCTTCTCCAACTATGGTTTTCATCCGTCTTCATTCCCCATCCAAACCATTACTTCATCCAATCCTACTGTTACATCAAAAAATGAATTTATGTCTTCTCTATTTTTCAAATTACGGGAGAATCTTCAACTCGCCCAAAATAACCAGAAAAAGTTTTTTGACAATAATAGAAGAATTCCCCCTCCTTACAAGGTAGGGGATCTTGTCTAGCTCTCTTCAAGGAATATTACCACAAGCCGTCCTTCAAAGAAATTGAGCTCTCTTTTTCTTGGTCCCTTTCAAGTAATTACTATCATTAATGATAACGTTGTTAAACTAAAACTTCCTCCAAGTTTTAAACTTCATCCAGTATTCCATGTCTCCTTACTTAAACCACACATCCCTGATCCTTTTTATAGGGAAATAGTAACAACTCCTGAACCTATCATTGTCCAAGGTGAAGAAGAATATGAAATTCACAAAATTTTGGATTCTCGTGTCCACCGTGGCTCCTTACAATACCTTATCAGATGGAAAGGTTATGGAGTTGATGAAGACACTTGGGAAGATTCATCTAATGTACATGCTAGGAGGTTAGTTACTGCCTTTCACAAACGCTATCCCTCCAAACCGAAATAGTGCACCCAGAGGATGCCCCATGGGAAGGGGGTACTGTCAGGTATAGCATGGCATGTAATTTATCGCCGGAACCCACTTCCGGGTTCACGGCGCTCAGCCCCGCCCCTTTCTCTGACGCGGTCCCTCCACGATACTTAGGAGGACCGCGCCAGATTCAAAGGGCTGGATTATTCGCACAGGTGCTGCATGAAGATCAGCTGCTCTACTTCTGATCCTACCTGCTCCACTTCTATACCTCGGCTAGTAAACGGATTTCTACCTTCTCCACTTCTCGACCTCGGCTTGTAAACGGATTTCTACCTTCTCCACTCCTAGACCTCGGCTTGTAACTCTGAATTCTACCTTCTCCACTCCCAGACCTCGGACTTCCCCACTCTCCACTCCTAGTTCTCAGCTTGTTGAAACGGACTTCTAATTTCTCCTTCATTGGGTGAATTAACCCTTCCAGTGCCAGAACTGCCTTTAAGTTAAGTAATACTTTTACCAAACAAGTCAATTACTATTATTTATATTACACAGTATCTAAAACTCACTAAAGTGTCACTTTGTCTAATTATTCCTCTTACTCATAAGGGATTGCTACAAAGCCTAATTTTACCTAGATGGATATTTAAAGGTACAGTGACCATAGTTTCATACCAATATAAAAGGAGGTGAACCTTATTGTTGTTGCAACCAAGAAATGCTGCAGTTGAGTTCCAATTAAAGAAATATTACAAAATAAGTATTACAGTTAGAAGTGCAGGGGGACGTTTATTCAGACGCAATTATTTTAAGATAGAACCTCGATGCCGAATAGGTCCAGATTTGGAAGTGACATGAGGGAGACAATCTATCGTTCTGCTATAGCCTTGTTGCACTAGTTTTTGGTCGTGGGATGTGATGGGACTGGTTAGACAGCCGTATGATTGAAAACATCGCCCTATAGGCTGTACTAGGGGTGTAAGGTCCATCACGGTGCCCTCCTCTCTTTTCCCACGTTCTACAGTATTCTTTACTACATAAACAGCTATGCTATCAAAACTGTATCCACGATCTTGATATACTGTTACTATAAGGACAACTTTGTAAACAGGAATTAGCAACATTGTTATATGAAGTATCGAGGAAGATTAGCTCAAGTAGTTTGAGCAGCTACATTGTTTATACATAGGCATACAAGTATCTAGTAATCCATTGTATCAGGAATTGGGGTTTAATTCATCCAAATTGAAGTACTAACAACTCAGATTTAATAAGAGTATTATCTGGGTACACCCTACAACAATTTAGATTTCTGTAGACAATGACTTTGTAGGATTTCACACACTAGATCTTATAGACATAAGTGGAAAATCTTCCCTCTAGAGAAATCATCATTTTATTCACTTTTTGGTTAACTCAGCCATTTATATTTAGGTGTGGTGATTTTACACGTGTTTATAATAAGAGTGTGTGTAGTGCCCTTATTATTATTAAGGGACTTTTTAATTTTAATTTATTAAAAGTGACGTTTTAATTTATGTGTATTTCACTGGTGTCAATATATATAGAACTGGAATCTCCAACTTTTCTCTTTTTTCCTTTTGCCAATTAACTAGGGGTTAACCCCCATGGAGGTTCCAGTTGTTTAGGCTCCTTTCTTTCTTCTTTTTTCATTCTTTCAAATAAATTGATGTGAGTAACATATTCAAAATTCACGAAAATCCGATCGGTACTTTACGAACGGCACCGTGTGGAAGTTTGACCGGCTCGCCACGAGGTTGTATCCGACCAAGAGTTCCACAGAATTGGCAGCAAGAGCCGTTCTCCGTTTGGATGGATTTTCATGAACACCGCCATTGATAGATGATTCGTGGAGAATGCTCCTCTCGTTCGTCTGTTTGAAACTCCTGAACGCCGTTCTTCTACCATATGTGGAAATAGTTTGTATGGGACTTCCATAGAGACCGTGTGTTCGTGCGAGTGCCATGCCCAAAACAGTTCCACTCGACGACCAAGCAACCATAGAATCCTGATTAATAAATCAGAGAAAAACAGGGCGCCACAATCACAAAGATAAATTCTATCTGGAGATTCCCATGGATAGGAGGGACAAATAGATGTAAGAAAAAAATCCACTTTATTAGTAATAAATCCAAGTAAAATAAAATAAGCAATAGCACACACAAAATTGTGCAAAATCGTAATACAATGTTAAAAAGCCAAATAAGGCATGATGGCCCCTATGGACAACAGCTTCAGCTATACAGATGACTGTGCAGATGTAGCAAAGTGCCAGTGCAAAAAGTGCCAAAGTGCAAAAAATGCACAACACAAAAACCAACAGTGTACTGACAAGATAAAAGACTGTTGTACTACCAATACAGGGCTCTCGTAGCTGCTCAACGCGTTTCGTCGGTTAGACTTCTTCAGGAGCTTCTCCTGGCGTCTTCTCCTTTTAAATCCGCTGATCTAGGTGCCGTTCATACCCCGTGCATGCGCAGATCTGGCGAGAGCACTGCCATACGTGATGACGTGCAGTCGACCGATGTGCGCATGCGCAACCAAGCTGGAACGCAAATAACTTTATGAATAATACTGTACCCGGCCATACAAACGAGGGTAACCATATCCAGGAGCGTTCTATGTTCTCATGGTCCGGGTTAACAGCCCTGGCTATAGAGGGAAACTATATTAACATAGAAAACTAGCAAACAATATTAAAAATACAAATTGGACCAAATGGTATTAAAAGATGAATGGAGATAAAAATTAATGTAAAGAAAAAAATAATAAATGTAGCAAAAAGAATAATGTAGAGAAAAATAATGCTATGTTTCACACTATGTTTCATGTTTTTATTATTAATTCCATTAAAGTGTTCTAAAAATCTCACATGTAATTTCCTAATGGTGCGTCCTATGACGCCACATTTACATTGTATCAAATACACTACAAATCGGCTCTGACAGTTTATAAAATGCTTGATTTTAAAAGTTTCATTCATAACTGAGCTTTTGAATTCTGTAGTCTTATTCACTTGAAACTTACATGTGCTGCATCTACCGCATTTAAAAAAACCTTTAGGTTTCTCAGATAAAAAATTTGACTGATCCTTCTTAACCTCTTTTTTAGGGAGTATACTGGGGGCTAAAATACTTTTCAAATTATTTGTTTTCTTGTATATCACTTTTGGATTTGTAGGTAAAATTTTCTTTAAGTATTGATCTTGTAATAAAATTGGCCAGTTTTTCTGGATAGATTTGTCAATCAGGTTTGTCTTGCCATTATATGTAAGAAAAGCAAGTCGAACCCATTCTTGTTAACACCTCTCGTGCGCTTATTTTTACCTCCATTCAATATTAAATCCTTCCTTTCAAGTCTTTCTACTTGTGTCTTACATACCAGATCATCAGTATAATTCCTATCATAATTTTTTTTATTTAAAACCTGAACCTGTTCTTTAAAATCATCTCCATCGGTGCAATTTTTAAAAATTCTCAATGACTAAGTCCCGCTGGCCGCGTTCGGGAGTTAAGATGGCCGCCCATTGTTCTCACCGCGTGCGTTCGTATGCACGAAATAGCGGCCACCTAGGAGCATTCAATTAACTTGTGGTTTTCGTGTAGTTACACAAGGTTCTATGTTCTAATTGGTACCCAGGGTGGTCTCCGTTCAGTAAAACAAATATTTTACCGAATAACGAAAAAATAACGAAATGACCCAAGTAAATAAAACAGCAGGGAGTGGAAACAACCAAATGGGTTGCAGGAAATCCTTCACAGTGAGCATCTAACAGAGGAGGGAAGTGAGTTCCACAGGAATGGTGCAGCCCTCCAGAAGTTTTGAAGGCTATATATCAGAGGTGGGAGTATGGACAGAAGATAGATGTAAGTCTTCAGCAGAGTATAAGGGTCTAGACGGGACATACTTGTGTATTAGGGAGGATAGGTAGGTGGAAGCAGAATTATGTAGAGATTTGAAAGCAAGAACCAGAATTTTAAGTTGAGCCCTATATCTTACAGGAAGCCAATGTAGGGACTAAGAGAAGGGTGAGGCGTGGGAGGTGCAGGCAGACAGGAAGATGAGCCTCGCCGCATTCATTATGGACTGGTATGGCGCAAGTAGGGAGCACGTAAGAAGCGGCTTACAGTAGTCGAGGCAGTAGTCGAGGACAGTGGGATGGACCTGAAAAGAGACTTGCGTCCATCAAATTCAGCCATCCTCACATTTGTTTTTTGCAGTTGATCCAAAATAAGGCAAACAAAACCAAACAAGTTTGAAGCACTTCCAATTTTGCAACAAACTAGGAAAAAAAAATCCTTCTCGACCCCAGAATGGCAGTCAAAAAATACATTGAAGATTATGTTTGCAAGTATGCATCTAGTTGCTATATATATATATATATATATGTATATATATATATATATATATATATATATATATATATATATATACACACATACACACACACACACACATACATATACACCCTGTTCCAAATTATATTGCAAATTCTATTTAAGTGTCACAAAGATTAAATATTTTTTTTTTGAGTTTAACTCATGGATGGCATTGTGTCTCAGGGCTCTTTTGATCACTGAAAACAATCTCAGACACCTGTGATAATTAGATTGCCAGGTGAGCCCAATTTAAGGAAAAACTACTAAAGGAGGGTGTTCCACATTATTAAGCAGAGCACCATTTTCACCAATATGGGGAAGAAAAAGGATCTTTCTGCTGCCGAAAAGAGTGAAATAGTTCAATGCCTTGGACGAGGTATGAAAACATTACATAGTTCACGAAAACTTAAGCGTGATCATCGCACTATTAAGAGATTTGTGGCTGATTCAGAGCACAGACGGGTTTGTGCAGAGAAAGGCACATTGAGGAAGATTTCTGCCAGATCCATGCATGGGATCAAGAGAGCAGCTGCTAAAATACCATTACATAGCAGCAAACAGATATTTGAAGCTGCTGGTGCCTCTGGAGTCCCACGGACATTAAGGTGTAGAGTCCTCCAGAGTCTTGCAACTGTGCATAAACCTTCTATTCGGCCTCCACTAACCAATGCTCACAAGTGTAAATGGCTGCATTGGGCAGAAAAATTAATGAAGGCTAATTTTCAAACAGTCCTGTTCACTGATAAGTGCCGTGCAACCCTGGATGGTCCAGATGGATGGAGTAGTGGATGGTTGGTGGATGGCCACCCTGTTCCAACAAGGCTGCAACGTCAAGATTGCTGGTTGGCCCCTTTAGGTTCCCCGAAGGTATAAAGATGACCTCTGCAAAGTGTGTGGAGTTTCTGACTGATCACTTTCTTCCCTGGTATAGAAGGAAGAACTATGCTTTTGGTAATAAAATCATCTTCATGCATGACAATGCACCATCTCATGCTGCAAAGAATACCTCTGCATCAATGGCTGCTATGGGGATAAAAGGAGAGAAAGTCATGGTGTGGCCTCCATCCTCCCCTGACCTCAATCCTATTGAGAATATATATACACAAACATATATATATATATATACACACACACACACACACACATATATATACAAATACACACACATATACATACATATATATATATATATATATATATACATACACACATATATATATATACCCCCACACCCACACATATACATATATATATATATATATACACACGCGCACACACACACACATATATATATATATATATACACACACACACATATATATATATATATATATATATACACACACACATATATAGAGATAAATTTACTCATACTTACCGTAATTTTCTTTTCCTGGTCATAGGCCATGGCAGCACAACAATGGGTAGCTCCTCCCCTATCCCTAGTTAGACAGGAACTAATTAAAATAAGGGTACAAATACCCCCTCCTACCTCCTCCTCCCTCAGTCTAGTTAACAGCAATATCCCTGGGTGGGACCTTTGTGCTGCCATGGCCTATGACCAGGAAAAGAAAATTACGGTAAGTATGAGTAAATTTATCTCTTTCCTGGTCATATCCATGGCAGCACAACAATGGGTAATACCCAAGCTAAAACCAAGGGAGGGAAAGAAAAACTCAGACACATTATTATATAATGCAAGTGTATTATCACAAACAACTCAATGTGATGAACAAAAAGAATAGTAGTTAATCCTTTGAGGCAGAAAGAACTGATCTGCCAAATCCATCGTATTTGCCAGCTCTTACATCTAAACGATAATGTCTAATAAATGTATTAGAAGATGACCAAGTGGCTGCTTTGCAAATCAGTTCTGTAGAAACCTTTGCTGCAGCTGCCCAGGATGAAGAAAGGGAACGTGTAGAATGAGCTTTCAAACCTTCAGGAACACTTGTATTAGATGATCTATAAGATTGGATAATGGCCGAAACTATCCATCTACTGATAGTGGCTTTCAAAGCTTGCAGACCCTTCCTAGGGCCATTAGGAATAACAAAAAGCCTTTCCGAAATACGCCATTCTGAGGATCTTTGTATATATATCTTAAGACATCTTACTAGGTCAATAGCATCATCATCAGCGTTTTCCCCGTTATTAGATTCTTCTGTACTTAATGCTGGAAGGATTATTTCTTCATTCATATGGAATTCTGAAGTTACCTTAGGGCGGAATTCTGGAACCGTTCTCAGGATGACTCTGTCCTTATGAAATATCGTAAAAGGTTCTCGAGCCGAAAGAGCCTGAAGATCAGAAACCCTTCTACCAGAGGCTAGGGCTACTAGTAGAACTGTCTTGATCGTGAGAAGATGACAGGAAATTGATGCCATAGGTTCAAAAGGATCTGCTTTAAGGGCCTTCAGGACCAGAGGGAGATCCCATGGCGGAGTAATAGACTTAATGGGTGGCTTGATCTTGAGGACTGCAGTCAGAAATCTAGCTATGTCCGGATCCAGTGCCCATTTATGATTAGTTAAAGCAGAGAGGGCTGAAATATGTACCTTCAAAGTGTTATAACTCAATCCCTTCTCTAGACCTGATTGTAAAAATTCAAGAATGTCAGTAGT